TTTGAATTTACAGAAGGAAAATATGGGACTAATAATAATAATAATATATAAATAATAAATATATTATTTAAATAATAAATAATAATATGGGACTAATAATAATAAATAATAATACATAAATAATAAATATATTATTTAAATAATAAAGAACTAATAATAAGAAGAATTATGACTATTAGTGGGACCAATTAAGGAATTTAGAGGTTAACTTTTAGAAGAGTCTTGTGTTTTAGATTTGAACTCAGAATTTGCCATTAGAAAAAAACATGTTAGGAAACGTGAAGAAATTAAGCACACAGTATTTCACAGCAAGATGTAAATTCTCCCTCAGTTTACCTTCAGTTCTCAAAGTCAAGTGGGGATGAGAGACACTGTGGAAACAATTCAGGTGAAGGGTTCACCGGATGCCACCCCAAAATATGTCACTTTGGCATACTGACTAGAGCTAAAGGCACTTGAAAAACAGCAGGCTCAAGAAGGGCACTTATCCCCCGTTTTTTCCTTGAAAGCAGAAGAGGAGACTCCCTTGTGAGTGGTGCCTCCGTATACGGGAGGGACCCCCGTTTCTGGTCTTATCACCAGAAATAGGAGTCAAGGCTGAGAAAATTCTGCACATGACTGTCACGATAATTTCTCTTCCTTTAGTTTCCCCGTATATTTTACTTTTCCACAGTTTGCACTCTCTTCAAACTACTGTATAAATACTTAGGTTTTTCCACTTCTTCGGGTCTTCATTTCCTTGTTGAGACCTTGATGTTCATGTAAAAAAAAAAAAAACTTAGTATTCTTTTCTCTTATTAATCTGTCTTATGTCAATTTTATTCTCAAGCCTACTCAGAAACTCCAAAAGAGTATAGGTAAAAATTTTCCTCCCCTACATAGGTGAGATAAGGTAAAACCACATGCATTCCTAGTAGAAATTTTGTTGATATTCGAAGAGTAACAAGTATTGAAATAGAGCACAAACAAAGGGATACTGTTGAGGTAACAGATGATGTCAAGGGGGTCTGATTAGCTAGATGTGGTCCAGTCAATGGCCACTAAAGGGATGAAGCAGCCTGAAGAGCACTGTCCTCTCCTAAAATGAGGTTTGATTAGTTCCTACCCCTGGGGCTTCTCCAGATCCAAACTGATGTCCATGCAGAATTGTTGTCCAAGTACTGTTCAGAATGAAACCTCTTTTAGGAAAAGGAACAGTCTTCCTCCCTCCCTACAGCTTCTAGGTTTAACTAGAAAGTACCAAGAAATTTTGAGATCCTATAAAGTGTGTAAGATAGAAGGGGTCCACTCTTCCCATAAGGCATTGCAGTAGAATCCTTCACTACTGCAATAGTGTCCATGTGGGTACTTCACACCATATTCTTTTTCTAAAGTACAATGGCAACTATATCACCCTCTTTCTTACCAATCTTTAAGGTCTCCCTTTGCCTGTACAATTAAACACATTTAAGACTGTCTGTCACACAGCATTCTCCTCCTTTTGTAGTGTTTACACACTATTTTATGTGTACCCTGTACTCTAACATGGACAACTATACTTGAACACACTTGAGTTTTCCACCACTGAGCCTGTTATTTTGACTTCCTAATATGTCTTCTGTATATAAGGAAAAACCTGCAGTTCTCCTCCTGTGTCTTTCTTTTCTGGGTGTCTCCTTTACTACTCACACAGAACACTGCACTTCTGACACTGCTGGTTACCACATGTGTGGAGGTTTTTATCTCCACACCAGGCAAATCTCTGAGACAACCATCTGGATGTCCTACAATTTAATTCAGTCCTAACACTATCTACCTGGAGATGGTGTCAGTTCCCTGAGGTTAAAGGGCTCAGTCCCACAAAACTGCTCTCACCCCTCCTCAGCTGCCAATTGCAGGTGACAGGTCCCCAGGGTACCCACAACTTCTGTGTGATTTGGCAATAAATCCGAGGTTTCCACAACCCCCTCCTCAGGTTCAACTAATTTGCTAGAGCAGCTCGCAGAACTCAGGGAAACCCTTACATCAACTACCTTATTAAAGGAAATCACAAAGGATATAAAGGAACAGCCAGATAAAGAGATGCGTGGGGCGAGGTCTGAGAGGGTCCCGACTACAGGAACTTCTGTCCCTGTGGAGTTGGGGTGCATCACCCTGCCTGTGTGGTAGTGTTTGCCAACCTGGAAGCTCTCCAAACCCCATACTATTGGGATTTTCTGGCAGCTTCCTCACATAGGCATGATCAATTATTAACTCAGTTTCTGGCCCTGCTCTCCTCTGGAGAATGGGGCAAGACGGCTGAAAATTCCAAGCTTCTAATCATGGATTGGTCTTTCTGGTTACCAGTCCCCATCTAGGAGCCATCCAGGAGCCCACCCAGAGTTGCCTCGATAGAACAAAAGATGCTACTAGTGCTTTTATCAGTTAGGAATTTACAAGGGTTTAGGAGCTCTGTGCCGGAAGTTGGGAGAAAGGTACAGGCAGAGACCAGTACACATATTTCTTATCATTTCCACCTTCCGTCATCAAGTCCATCTTGCAAAACCTGACACACATATATTCACACACATACACACAGTTTAAATGGCAAATAACAAGGTAATATAATGTTGCCAACATATATTAGAATTATCTACTTCTGAAATACATAATGAAATGCTGCTCTAGGTCATGAAGAAACAGGTGAACATTCTAAAGGAATGGGAAATGTAGATTAAAAGGAATACAAATATTTTCCCAATAAGAGAGGGAAATAGTCAACCTCACTAACAACAACAACAACAACAACAAAACACAACAATATGAGATTCTCTTTTCAACCTATAAAATTTATAAAATTATAAAAATTAGACACACGCACACCTATACACACACATTACACCAGTATTGACAACATGGCTGTCTCATACAGTGTCTTTGATGGTGTAGTTGATTGTTTCTGGTATGCATAGTAAAGGATCATAATACTGTTCAGAAGTTTGACCCAGTAATTTCCTTTCAAAGAATCTCTCTTAAAGAAATAATCAGTGACACACAAAGACTTACACATGTATATGTCCCTTCACCATAGGAACGGACTTTATAAAGAAAAACTATCAACAATGTCAAGGGCTAACAATAGGGGATTGATTAAATGAAGGGTTGTAGCACCGATCAGTGGAATACATCACTGTTTTTAAAAAGTCATGTATTTGAAGACTATAATAACATGGTAAGAAAAACATCATACAATACTGAGGTAAAATGGATGTACACTTAATTGAGTAAAAACTCAATACACACAACAAGCAGCCTAGAGGAAAATGGAAATATTCTAAAATGTAAAGTGTGCTAGTTTCTAGTGAATGGATTATATGCAGCTCCTTTTCTAGTGAATAATTTTCTCTATTTTCCAAGTTTTCTATGAATTTTTATTACTCTAGATTCAAGAAAAAGAGATCCTATCAGTTAAGACCCATATCAAAAGCCACTATCACTCTGAATGCTTTTCTAATCTTCACATCATAGTATGTAGTTTCACTCTCCCCTCCAGAACATGTGCCCATGGTGTCTCTATTTCCCCTTTTCTTAGATCCTCCTACTCAAGAGAATTTAAAGAGGAAATCATCTTTGTCTACAATTTAACTTCGTCATTAATTGGCCCCCAAATTTCTGCTGCTTCTGCCTTTTATCACTCATGATCAGCATCTAGAGAAGACTGACACTCCAGCTTGATAGATGGCGCGATTCCTTCAAGTGTCACAGAAGACGCTGTTTACAGAAAGTAGCAGAGAGATACAAAGAGAGGAAAGAGGAAGAGGAGGGCAAATCACATACACATTGTTAACAATCAAGGGAAGGAGTGTAGGCATTTTGAGTTGCCTGTCAGCTCCCGCAAAACCATACTCTACTATGTCAAGGGTTTAAACACCGTTCCAGATCTACTCTTTCAACATCAGTGCCTTGAAATACCCCTACCCCCTCCACTGCAAGTCCAGGAACTCCCCTGAGAACTTAGACAGGAGAAAGACGAGCCACTTCCTTTGCCTTTGGCTGGGGCTGCTGCCCTGCACAGGGCATGGACGGGCTCAAGAGAGAAGAAACTTGATGTGGGGAGCCGGGGCCCCAGCTCTAGAGGTACCATGCATGTACTGAGTCTCAGTTTCCTCATCTGTAAAATGAAGATGACACCTGCCTCACAATGGTATAGAAGAAAAAAACAGCTGGCAAAACAAAGAGTTCTGTACTGTTTTTGAATTTCAAGAAAAAACACCTGTCAGGAATTGCTTTACTGAAAAAGAAAGTTGAGGAACTGGAACACCATATCACAAATTAAGGTGTTTTTTATTTTAAACACATTAAACTTTAGAAAAGTTCAGTAAGTTTAATATGGAACTATTTATATCAAGTGGTACAAAACTGAATCATTTATTTGCATGCTAATCATTATTAAAGTCACTTATGAAATTCATCTAAATGTTTTACCAGCTTTCAAAATAAATAGATCACAAAGGTCCATATGTGAAGATACAAAAATAACTTAAAATACACTTGCATGAGGAGAATGCTTACTCATTCAAGGAGAAGATATCAAAGAACAAAAACCATACTTGCTTTGAAAATTTTTAGTAATTTTTTTTCATCTAAGTAGTTCTATAACTAGTATAGTAATTTACAGCTAAGATGTTCACTTCCATTCTTAAATTAGAAACTCAGATGTGATAATATTTTTGATATTTTATATGCTTTTCTTCCACAGTAGGTAATCATTTATTTATAAATTAATTATTAAACAAAATCAATAATAAATTATTCAAATAATAACTGAGGGCTTCCCTGGTGGCGCAGTGGTTGAGAGTCCGCCTGCCGATGCAGGGGACACGGGTTCGTGCCCCGGTCCGGGAGGATCCCACATGCCGCGGAGCGGCTGGGCCGGTGAGCCATGGCTGCTGGGCCTGCGCGTCTGGAGCCTGTGCTCCAGACCACAGCGGTGAGAGGCCCGCGTATCGCAAAAAAAAAAAATAATAATAATAATAATAATAACTGAGCACCAATTGTGTACCAGGTATTAATCTTTTCCTTTCAGAGCTAAAGTCTTGTCGGTTGTGTGTTGTTAGGCACTAAAGGGCAATGCTTCCTCCATCTGTTGTGTTTTCTGTAGAATCACTCTCCTCCCAAACAACTGACAAAGTATGTAATTTATAAATATCTTGAAAATTTCTTGGTGCATTCACTTTAACACTGAAGTAATTATTTAAAAGAAAAAAACTACACATATACACTAATTGTGGCAGCTGTTCCCGGGATAAACGATTACAGCTTTCCTGGGATTGTCCCCTTTTCCCCACCCAAGTGTTTGTGGAAGAAAGTCTGGAGCTGCTGCCAAGCATCCACCTGGGCCCTGGCATGAGCCCTGGGCTCCCCTCCCCAGATGACAGGACTGCCCACCAAGGTGTGCAGGGAAGCCCGGCACATGGGGAAGTAAGGAGGCTCAATGTAGTGTCCCGCCCCTGGGTAACAGATGATCTGGGGCTTCGCCTTACTATGGGCCTGCAAGCGTTTAGAGGCCTCATTAGCATAGAATTCACTCTTCCAGTTGTGGTCATCCTGACCCACAAGGAACAGGAAGGCACACTCAGCCCTTTCCACAGGAATGAAGCTCTTCTGATCAGGTCCTTCCAAAGGGCTGTTCAGGACATCCAAAATGTCTGCTAGTCCATCTTTGGTCACCTTGAGTCGACTTCGGCTGACACCCACAGGCGGCAGTGTCTCACCCTTGTAGTGTAAGGTTCCACCGACACTGGCCACAGAGCCATTGATTATGACAGCCGCGGTGATGCCCTTCAGGAACGAGGCCATGGAGAGGCAGAGTTCGCCTCCTTTGGAAATCCCAAGCAGCCCTACCCCTGGGCCCTTTACCTGAGAAAAGGCCAAAGGGAAAAGGAGAATGAGTCCATGAACAAGTGCAGTGTGGCGAGTAGCGCCTGGACTTGAGAGTCGGTTAGAACTGAGCGTGGATCTGGGCTCTCCCACTTATCAGGGTTTGCAGCCTTGGGATACTGACTTATCCTTCCTCTCCACCTTGCTTCCCACAATTTCTCCATCACCATTCCTGGTGTCTTCAACCATGTGGATGACAACTAAATGCTTTGGCCTCTCAGTTCCTTGACCTCCAAACCTCCCATTATCTTTTTCTCTCCCCGACCTCAGACACACACTCCCATTGTCATAACCTAAGTCAAGTCATCAATAAGTACATCATCTCCAAAACATCAGCTTCAAGCATTCTACTCTCTAATCACCAACTTATTTACCTCCAGTTTAGCAATTCTAGTACTGCCCACTCCCACCTCTTTGAGACACTGACTACCATTTTTTCCCTATCAGTACCTCTCATTTTCTCACTTCTCACCTCATCCGGCTTAGATTTCAAGCTTAGATTTCAAGCTTCATCGTTATTATCGCTCCCCTGCAAACACTCCTAACTCCCTTAATACCTCTCTCCCTTTGGTCCTACTCGCCTAGAAAAGTGATAACCTCACTTAGCACCTGTTATTCACTTCCTCCAGGCCTGCATTTGTGCAAATGAACACTGCTGGAGAAAAAAATACATGCTTGTTGGGCTTCCCTGGTGGTGCAGTGGTTAAGAATCCGCCTGCCAATGCAGGGGGCACGGGTTCAAGCCCTGGTCCAGGAAGATCCCACATGCCGCGGAGCAGCTAAGCCCGTGCGCCACAACAACTGAACCTGTGCTCTAGAGCCCGCGAGCCACAACTACTGAGCCCGTGTGCCTAGAGCCCATGCACCTCAACAAGAGAAGCCACCGCAATGAGAAGCCTGAGCACCGCAACGGAGTAGCCCCACTTGCCACAACTAGAGAAAGCCTGCACGCAGCAATAAAGACCCGACACAGCCAAAAATTAATTAATTTAAAAAATATATATATGCTCGTGCGGACAGATCTTTTTTTTTTTTTGCGGTACGCGGGCCTCTCGCTGCCGCGGCCTCCCTCGTTGCAAAGCACAGGCTCCGGACGCGCAGGTTCAGCGGCCATGGCTCACGGGCCCAGCCGCTCCGCGGCATGTGGGATCTTCCCGGACCGGGGCACGAACCCCGCGTCCCCTGCATCGTCAGGTGGACTCTCAACCACCGCGCCACCAGGGAAGCCCCGGACAGATCTTACTTTCATGTCATGACCACAAATTTCAAATAAGCATCCATATTGCCCCTCAATCCTGCTTCCCTGATGTTTGCTTTCCACTTCTCCAAAAGGCCATTCCACCTTGTCTCCTACCTCTGTAAGCCCCTTTAACCCCTATTACCTTTCACTAAAAATAGAAGCTATCAGGTAGGAACTTGTCCTCAATTTTCCCTTCCAAGTCTACTTAGTTCTGCATGAATCAGGCTCTCCTCCTTCCCTCCTGTTTCCAAAGTATCTCTAATTCAAGGCCACCCTCTGCTTGTGCTTGGGATCCCATCTATTCTCATCCTCAGGGACTTTGCTCCTGCAATTACTTCCTCCTTCTCTCTCTCCTTCATAACTTTCCTCTCTACTGGCTCATCCCCATCAGTGTACCCCAAGCTCTAGTACCTCTTACATTTTAATAACAATCCTTTGAGCTTAAATCCACTCTGCCCCAGTTTTCTACTCCCTTTCACAGCAAAACTTGTGGGAAACTTTGTAGTTATTTTCTTTCTTCATTTTCTACTCAATCCCCTCCAGGGTACTTTGGGTTTGCCCTATTCCCTAAGGACTCTTCTTGTCAATTACCAAACTCTTCTGTTACAAATGCCTTTTTATTGACCTCTCAACAGCACTTTTGTTGTTGTTGTTGTTATGGTTTCTGCAAGAGCACCCTTAACTGTTTTCAGCCACTTATTTCTCATAAAGATACTCGGAATGGGATATTACTGTCATCCCGACTTTTGAGAGGAAGAAACAGAGGCCCCAAGCTCATGAAGCTAGTTAAGTGGCAAAATCAAACCTCAAATTTTCTCTATCAAACATATTGTGCTGGTTGCACTACACCCCATCACATTTTCTAAGAGCTCCAGCACTTCCATCCCCCTTGAGCTCTGATTGAATTATAGAATAAGCAAGGTCTATCTTCTAATCCCCTGATATCCTGAGCCCTCCAAACGCTCCGTACTACCTAGGTTCTTTGTCACCAGGTTCTTCTTTAAAACTGAATCCTCTGCTCTCAGAGGGGCACATGGAGGAGAGGTTTATTAAACACAAACATTTAAACTAGAGACACTGATCTCCTTCCCCTTTTCCTCTACTTCCTGTGTCAAACCCAGGGTTCTCAATGTGTTTGGGCTTGTAATGAAATAGTATAAAATACTGGAATTTAAAATTCCATAATTCCAACTAGGACATCTTTACTAGCAGGAAATCTATTACAACATCTAACTGCATGGAAACTGTCTGGGAAAAGCAACTATGAAAGGTAGTGTGTGTTGGGGGCAGGAAAGGGCTGTCATGAATTTGTCAAGTTCTGTGAAAACCAAGAGCATTTAAGAGGAGAACTGATACGCAGAACATAAAAATTAGAGGAAGTTCCAACCTGAGGGTGATTAAGCAGGTAGTTCAAAGCTTCTTCAAAGTACTCCAGGTGGAGGTTCTCTATGCTCTTGGGGAGGTCTTCATAGTTATAATAAGCCAGAGCCATCACAGCAAAACCCTTCCCAGCCAGCAGACTAGCTCGATATTCCGGAAGGCCACGTCCAGTTCCAGAAATGTCCACAATCCCAGGAAAGGGTGCAGGTCCTTGGGAAGAAACAAAACACAAAACTAAACTATACTTGAAACTCTTTGCAGTGGCGTCAAAAGCCATTTTTACCTATTTGGTGATGTCAGAGTTTTCTGTTGACAATCAGAAATGCTGAACGGCTCTGGTCTTCAAAGATCCAGACTGTGGCATAGGCTAAACCCACATTCCCCACTATACCTGGGGCCTCAAAGCACCACAGAGTTTTACAAAGAGCATGTACTATTTTTGTGGTTAAAAATAATTTAGGGCTTCCTTGGTGGTGCAGTGGTTGGGGGTCCGCCTGCCGATGCAGGGGACACGGGTTCGTGCCCCGGTCCGGGAAGATCCCACATGCTGTGGAGTGGCTGGGCCCGTGGGCCGTGGCTGCTGGGCCTGCGCGTCCGGAGCCTGTGCTCCACAGCGGGAGGGGCTGCAGCGGTTAGAGGCCCACGTACTGCAAAAAAAATAAATAAAAAAAAATAATAATAATTTAAAGGGACTTCCCTGGTGGTGCAGTGGTTAAGAATCTACCTGCCAATGCAGGGGACATGGGTTCAAGCCCTGGTCCGGGAAGATCCCACATGCCGCAGAGCAACTAAAACTAAGCCCGTGCACCACAACTACTGAGCCTGTGCTCTAGAGCCTGCAATGAACACCCAGTGCAGCCAAAAGAACAACAACAACAACAGCAAAGACTCAATTGGCAGGACTTCCCTGGTGGCCCAGTGGGTAAGACTCCGCATTCCCAATGCAGGGGGATTCAATCCCTGGTCAGGGAACTAGATCCCGAATGCATGCCGCAACTAACAGTCCACATGCTGCAACTAAGAAGTCTGCATGCCGCAACAAAGATCCCAAGTGCCACAACTAAGATCCGACACAGCCAATAAATAAATAAATAAAATTTTTTTAAAAGACTAAATTGGCAAAATTCGTACAGACCCTCCAAATACCTTGGCCAAAAGCATTGCCGTTGGTCCTTCTAAATCTCAGATCCACCCCCTTTGGAACTCAATAAACTCTCACCCTTTGAGATAGTCACAAGACATCCAATGCACCTGGCCCCTGCCTGTTTTGATTCACAGCTGATAAAAGGAGGTATATTTCATACTGTAAAGACCTAGCTGCTTCCATTAAAAATAATCATGCTTTGGTAGAGCAATCTTGTCACAGAGCAATCCCAGGAGATGAAGACCTTAAGCATCATACCTTGTATTCTGGAGATTTCCTCTTGAAAAAGACACCTCCAGAAAGACTTTTTTAACCCCACGGGGAAGGCCCCTTTCAAGTACTGCTAACCAACCCTTGTGCTGCCAAACTCCAGGGAACAGACTCTTCATTTACATGACACATCTAAAAAAAGCACCAAACCCTCACTGGACCTCACATCATAGGATGACCTGAAAATAAAGATTTCCCAGAATTGAAGCACACGGCATCTGACCAGACAGCTTTGCTAAGATGTCAGGGCCAGTACTGTTAGAAAGTTCAGGATTCACATTAGTCTTTTCATCTGGACTATTAACTGACTCTGGATTCTTATCCAAATTCAGGGTAACTGAACTTGCAATCTCACATGCTATGCCAGTAATAACACATTTGGTTACAAATAGTTCTTTTAAGGTAAGAATACTGTTTTAAAATGTCTTTGAAGTTTTGCTATCTTCATGAAGAGTTCATTAGCTGTTGCCTCATGTTTATGCCTGCACTGTACCTTCCTGAATGCACTTGGTTAACTGTTTTAGATTCACTATGCCCTTGTTGTATTCGCTAGTCTATTTTGCTTTCCTGGCCGCTTTAAACGGGGACTTCCAGGAGGCATCCATGGCTCTGGGTTCGCCTCAGTAGGGAGAACTTTTCTCCCCGAAATCAGAGTAAGTGCCAATAAATATTTTTTCAGTTGGCTATCTTCAGGCCTAGGATCCTGGTTTAGAATCATCATACAATTTGGAATTGTCATGTTACTTTTGATTCTATACTTGTTTCCTGTCAAACCTCTGTAAAAATGATATATACCAAAAGAGATGATCTCTAGTTCTTAGGGTCTTGAGAAATATGGACTATAGATGGAAAGTTCCTGAAAGTTCTCCCTCCAACTCCTCCTTGTTACTCAAATGTGACATCAATAGGTTTCCACTCTGTGCAGTTTCCCTCTAACAAGGGACATGACACCCAGGAAAGGTCCTTCCTGACACAGAAGGACAAAAAGCCGCTCCACTGACTCTTGATCATCGATGGTTTTGGAGAAAGATCGTGATTAAAAGGGAGAAATGTGAAAACTAATAAAGGGAAACCTCACTAGAATGGAGTAAGGAGGACAGAATTGGGGAGCTTTCCTGCAGTACCACTCCATGTCAATTATAGGAAGAATTGTCAATTACATCAACGGGAAAGAATCATCAACTACAGGCCCCAACAGCAAACAATGTAAATGGCCTCCCCCCCAAGAAACTGACTACCCCAACAACTCAACAATGAAAAATCACCATTATACCAAACTCTCTTTTCTCTGATAGACTTTTGCTCAAAACAGCCCCTCCCAGCTTCCTCCTTTTTCTCCATAAAATAGCATTCTTCTCCTTGCTTTGTTGCACTTGCCTATGGTTTTAGCCGTAGCTTGCTTGTTCCAATTTGCAATTCTCTGCTATTCCCAAATTAACCCATTTTTGTTAGTCAAATAACTAACTTTTATTTTTAAGGGCAACAGTGGGGGTGCAAAATGATACAATCACTTTGGAAAACAGCTTACAATTTCTTATAAAGTTAAACATACACTTAGGTTATGGCCCAGCAATCTCACTCCCTGGTATTTACCCAAGAAAAATGAAAACTTGTGTTCACACAAAAACTTGGATGCAAGCGTTTCCAGTGACTTTATTCTTAACCTCCAAAGACCTGAAACCCAAATGTCCTCCAACTGGCGAAAGAATAAACAAACTGTGCCACATCCATCTAATGGGAAACTTCTAAGACACAAGAAGAAGGAACTACCAATATATGGAGCAACAGGAATGAATCTCAAATACATTATGCTAGACTCAGAAAGCTACCTACGGGCTTCCCTGGTGGCGCAGTGGTTGAGAGTCCGCCTGCCGATGCAGGGGACATGGGTCCGGGAGCCATGGCCGCTGAGCCTGCGCGTCCGGAGCCTGTGCTCCGCAACGGGAGAGGCCACGACAGTGAGAGGCCCGCATACCGCAAAAAAAAAAAAGCTACCTACTGTGTATAAGGCTAGTTATGTTACATTTTCACTATTTACATTAAAAGTTTGTATTTAATGTGCAAATTTTAAGGACTATTTATAAGGCAAATACTTTATATGCAGAACTTTAATAATTCAGTACTAACCATCAAAGCCCTGTCAGTACCTGTTCCCCTTCCCTCACTTTCCACTATTCTGAATTTTATCAATCTCTTGATTTTCTTTACAGTCTTACTACTTGTAAGTATTCCTTAAATGGCATTTTGTTTATTTTGCCTATTTTTTGAATTTTATCTGAATGTAATGATACTGAATGTGTTCTTTGAGGACTTGATGTTTCCATCAACACTGTTTTTGAGGTTCATCCATTTTGATTCTTGGTTTTTAAAAAATATTTGTTTATTTTTGGCTGTGTGGGGTCTTAGTTGCTGTGGCATGCGGGCTTAGTTGCCCTGTGGCATGTGGGGTCTTAGTTCCTTCACCAGGGATCGAACCCGTGTCCCCTGCATTGGAAGGCGGATTCTTAACCACTGGACCATCAGGGAAGTCCCTTGATTCTTGTGACTATATTTCAATCACTTTTGTGCTATAAATATAGTTTTATTGCTGATGGACATTTAGGCTGTTTCCAGTTGTTTTTGCTCTTACAAACATAAATACCTATTGGTGCACCAGGAGTAGAATGACAGTCAACTTTATAAGTAAAAGCAATTTTTTCCAGAGTAGATGAATAATTGTGTTCCTTTTTAAAAAAAAATATTTATTTTATTTATTTTTGGACGCGTTGGGTCTTTGTTGCTGCTGGTGGGCTTTCTCTAGTTGCGGTGAGCAGGGGCTACTCCTCGCAGTGCATGGGCTTCTCAATGTGGAGGCTTCTCTTGTTGTGGAACGCGGGCTTCAGTAGTTGTGGCTCACGGGCTCTAGAGCGCAGGCTCAGTAGTTGTGGCGCACAGGCTTAGTTGCTCTGCGGCATGTGGGATCTTCCTGGACCAGGGCTTGAACCCATGTCCCCTGAATTGGCAGGCGGATTCTGTGTTCCTTTTAGCAGTGTATGGGAGTTCCTTTTCCTCCACATACTGGTCAAAAACTGGTAATGTTAGACTTCTAAATTTTGAGGGTGTTGAGTGTAGTGTTTAGTTTTACTTTGCATTTCCCTGATCCTAATCAGGATAAGCATCTTTTAACTTTTTCATTGGCCTGTTGCTTTTTATGTAATGGTAAAATTAACCAATAATTCAGAAGATTTTCCAGTGGATAGCAAGAGGCCTTCTTCCTTCATGGTAATTTTCTTAAATCTTAATATACTCTGGGAGTTAGAAGGAAAGTTATAAAACTGAGAAACTTTAGAAAGAAAACTTTAAAAACTGGAAACTCCTTATACTTTTTTTTTTTTTATTACAACTGTCTTTACCCTTTCCTTGCGATGTCTTCGTTCTGACCTCTGTCTTGGAGCAGCAGAGCCACCTCCCCAGCCAGCCTTACGTTCCATTCTTGTCTCCTCGAAATTTTCAGGCCCCACAGACCTTCGGAATGTTGGGAGCTACCTACTTACTGCCTTTCTCTCTCACAGACAAGATAAACAGGGAAGCAGGGGGCTTACCTGGCGGCAAGAAGAGCGTGGCGCGCACCCGGCCCGACCGTACGGGCTCGCGCCGCACCCCGGGAGCCAGGAAGTCACGCTCGTGCACCGCCCGGCCCAGGAGCCCTCCGGCCTCCGGGTCATGGCCATCGAGCACCTCCAGCTCCACGGCGAAGGGCGTCTGCACGTCCCGCTTCACCAGCCGCAGCAAGGGCTTCTCGGGCTCCAGAGCCCAGAGGAGCCCCATGGGCTCCAGGCCCGTGAAGCTGCCGCCCAGCGCGCGCGCGCGCTCGAGGTCCAGCTGGCCGTGGGCGTCGGCGCAGTAGCGCGCGTGGGCTGGCAAGAGCTCGTCCTTCTCGTCGCGCAGGGACGCGCGCAGCGTGACCGGCTGTCCCGGGGCCAGGCCGCGCACGGCGATGCGCACCGGCTCGTCCCAGCGGCAGCGGCCCGCGGGCTCCAGCGTCACCGTCGCCGCCATCCTGGCAGGGGCCCAAGAGTTTGGGTCACCGGTCCTCAGCTTTGTAGGCCCTGCCAATCGCGCCCAGGGTGTCGGGTCCCATCGACAGAGTCGGAAGGGTCGCAGGAGAGCCGGAAATGAGACCACCATTTTGCGCCTTTTTCAGATCTCGGGTCAACTCAAGAAGGCTGTGAAGAAGGTTAGAAACTAGAGTCCCTCTAGCGACAGGCTGCCTATCTGCAGCCTAAGGCCTAATGGGGCCGAGCAGCCTGCTATAAATCTTCGGAGGGCCGCGAAGTCCTGCCAGTCAGTGGCCGAACTTTAAAAGCAAGAGCGAAAGCAGACACACAGCAACTTTATGTTGGGAAGAATTTTCCTAGTTTTGCCTCTCAGAAGCTCATTGGCTCGTGCAGCGTGGGCTGGACCGGGCTTCCCCTGAAGGAACCTGGCACTTAACAAAGTGTCCAGTCTCCAAAATTAATGTAATAGGGCAGGGCGCGCCGGCCGGACCCCGGGGCCTCCATGATGTAGGAGCGTGCGGCGGCCGCCGGCTCCTGCAGCCAGCCGCCCGACTGGCTCCGACGCGGGCCCCGGGCCGACCGGGGCGGCCCCGGCCTCTGCCCCCGCCCCC